TACTTCTACCAGTAGTATGTGACTTTGTCTTTCTGTCGCTTAAACAGTGATCATTACCACATTTTTTATTTTTTGGTCATTTAAGGGGAAATATTGCTTAGTTTTGGTGGGTGGGTGGATGTGTGTGTATATGTGTTTTGTTTTCTCGGGGATTTGGGTTTTACAGAATGAGACTCATGTTGTACCTATCACTTTGTAATGTTTAGTTTTATCTACTGTCAGTGTTATCACAGGTTGAAATAGTGCTCCCCAGTTAGGGAGATGAAGAGACTGTTGGAACCATTGATTACGGGTACTTCTACCTTTTTGGCTCTTGAGAATAATGCTGTAAAGGGCATGGCTGTACAAACACCTCTGAGGTCCCATTTTCAGATCTTTGGGATAAAATCCAGAAGTGTGATTGCTGGATCATATGGTAGTTCTATTTTTAGCGTTTTTGCGGACTCTCCACATTGTTTTCCATAGTGGCTGTGTGGTATGTATTTTAAAATATTTACATAGACACAGAAAAGTACATAAAACACTAGCAGATTATTACTTAGCAACAATTTAAGTCAAGAAATAGAACTTCCCACCCTTCCAAAAACCCTTCTCTTTTCCCTTCTTCTCCTTTATAAGTCTGCCTTCTCACACTTATTTTGCCCTGTAGTTTTAGAACTTTGAGTAAATGAAATCCGCAGTTTATCCATTATGAGTAATGCTGCCATGAACATTCTTACTCATGTCTTTTGCTGCACACTCATGAATAGAATTATTGTGCCATAGGGTAGGCATTCACTGTTAGCAGACAGCACAGTAAAAAGTGGTTCTGCTAATTGTATTCTTGGGAACAGTATATAAATTTTATGGATGTTCTATGTCTTTGTCAGTGCTTTGTGTTGTATTATCGGTCTTTCAAAATTTAACACTTTGTGGGTATGATTAAGTTTATACTTATTTTCTCTTTTCTTTTTTTCTTTTTTGAGATGACGTCTTGCTTTGTCACTTAAGCTGGAGTGCAGTGGCACAATCTCAGCTCACTGTAACCTCTGCCTCTCAGGTTCAAGCAGTTCTCCTGCCTCAGCCTCCAAATAGCTGGGATTACAGGCGTGCACCACCATGCCCAACTAATTTTTGTATTTTTAGTAGAGACAGGGTTTCACCTTGTTGGCCAGGCTGGTCTTAAACTCCTGACCTCAGGTGATCCACCCACCTCGGCCTCCCAAAGTGCTGGGATTACAAGTGTGAGCCACCACACCCAGCCTTGTACTTACTTTCTTGATTCGCATTGAGATTGTGTTGTTGTGTTGCTTAGAGATAGGGTGTTTCTGTGTTGCCCAAGCTGGGGTGTGCAGTGGTGCAATGACAGGTCACTGCAGCCTCAAACTACTGGATGCAAGTGATCCTCCCACTTCAGCCTCCCCGGTAGCTGAGACTACAGGCATGCATTACCACACTTGAATAATTTTTTTTTTTTTCTTTTTCTTTTTGGTAGAGATGGTCTCACTCTGTTGCTGATCTTGAACTCCTGGCCTCAAGCAGTCCTCTGCCTTGGCCTCCCAGAGTGTTTGATTACAGGCGTGAGCCATCGCCCCTGGCCAGAGCTTCTTTTTATATGTTTATTGACTATTTGGATACTTTCTTTTGGAAGTGACTTTAGAAATCTCTTAAAATTTTCTACTGGATTGTACATCATTTTTCTTACTGATTTGTAGACTTTCTTTACGCTTTCTGCAGATGAACTCTTTCTCCGTTACATTTGTTGGAGGAGCCAGTGGCAGTGGCTCACGTGTGTAATCCTAGCACTTCGGGAGACTGAACTGAAAGGATTACTTGAGCCCAGGAAATTGAGACCAGCCTGGGTAATATAGCAAGACCCCATCTGTTTTAACAAATATCCACACATATGTTAGAAGTATTTTTCATTCTGTAATTTGCCTTTTCATTGTCTGACTAGTGTAGTTATAAGTAGAGATTGTTAATGTAATACAATTGATCAGTATTTTTCTAAGCACTACTACTTTTCTTTCCCAAGATCCAGGAAGATAGCCTCATTAAGTTTTAGAACTGGATGAGTCGTACTGTAGCCACTAGATCCGTGTGGCTATTTAAATTAATGGGGTGTTGAGTCCATTCTTTCCCCCTACTGCAATACCCTGTTGCAGTGGTCCCTGTCTTGTTTGAATAAAGTCAGCCTTACCACCTTGAAAACAAATAAATAAATTAATATAAATTAATTAAAAATAAATTGTAAGATTAACTTCCTTAGTTGCAGTAGCCACATTTTAGGTGCTCAGTGTATGGCTAGTACTCTCACCATGACTAGTGGCAACCATACTGGACAACACAGATCCAGACTGTTGCCATCAGTGCAGAAAAGTTCTGTTGGGTTGTGCTATGACTTTGCTTTAAAACTTGGTTATGATATCCTTTATATACTAGTGAATTCTGTTTGCATCTGTGTTGAGTGTGTGTGATTTTGGTTTTGTGTCCTGTGTTTTTAATGTATGTAAAGTATGTGACATACCTTATTCCGAGTCCTGGTTTGAAAATCTTTATTGAATGCCTGTTATATGTGCCATGTGCTGTTATAGGTGGTGCTGGGGAATAAAGCACATCTAAACTTACTGTAGAAAATATCGTGCAAAAAGTTTGTATGGTTAAGATGATTCTCAGTGATCATAAAGGCGACCAAGAAAAGGGGAAGGTGAAAATGCTGTGCAGGTAAACCCAATATGAATTGTTCAAGGATGTGTCACAGTTCTCTGTGACTGCAGGTGAGGTTTCAAAACAAAAATGCTGCCTTCGATTTTGATGTGTTCTCGTTGGAGTGGCTCAGTGTTGAGTATATGGCTGTGTTTCTTTTTATTCAGGCTTGCTCACTGTACTTGGTTTGTGCAGGGAACAATGCTATCGTGGTCATTAAAATCGAAACACCCCCTCCGAAAGTGTTAGTAAAAGTTTGCTGCAGCTCTTAGCGGTCTGCTGTTAGTTAACACTCGTACTCATCTGTTTTATAGCCTTTTCTGTTCTGTTACTGCTACTGTCATTTCTTCCATTACTCTTTGTCTTGTGGACTTGTTTTTAAAAATTCTGTTAAGATAATTTTAGTAAAGTTTCAGGAGAGAGGGGAGGCTAGTGCATGTGATTATCCTGGCATCTTTAACTTTTTAGACAGAATTTTCTCATTTTGTGATACAAATATTTATTTCCTGTTGCAAAGAGATGGCGCTTCTTGCAGTCCATTGAAACTGCCATACACCTTGATGATTTAGTTTTTGGATTCTGTACGAGATCATGTTTAGTAGACCCATGTTGTTGTGCTTGAGTCTACAGGAAGATGTTCATGTTCTGTTTCAGATAATAGTTCTGTAGTTTTGTGCGTTTCTTAACTCATCAAATACAATGTGTGGCCCACCCTTAGCCCTTGATATTGCTTACCTTAATTGTGTAGAGCGTAACCAGTTTCTACTTTGACTAAAGTTTGATGTATACAAGTTACTTGAAAGTGGGGATTCGGTCCCTCTACACGCTAGTGTACATAGTGCTATATGCTATAGTCTCTTTAAGTGTTAAATGAAAAACCAGTCTAAAATGCAGGATTTATATTAAAAATTGAGTTGCCTGCTTAATGGTATTGTGGTTTCCTTGTAGAATATAATGATAAGCTTTGCGAGACTGGGTGAGCCATTTTAGGTGGAAGATTTGCAGAGCTTTAAGGTGATATTGGAGTATTTTATATATATAATGTATATGTTAATGGAATAGGCTGTCTAATTTGGTGTGTAGGTATGGTGATGAGACCAAGACTCTGAGTCTGATTTTTACCCTCTGTATCCCCAATGTGGATTGTTTTGTGGGACACTGCAGTCTTAACATTGGCAGACTTGCTCTCTAGTAATTGATACTGCTGTCCAAGGGTTCAGATACACCCATCCGTGAATGAACAACCCAGATAGTCAGGCTACTGGAAAAAACAACCCAAAACAGACTTTCAAGATGAATCAGTGAGGTTTCTTTTTGATACGGAGAATAGCAATAGGTTGTTTTTATTATCAAGAAGTCCTAAACATTTCACTGGATGCCTCACTTTTACTTAAAATATTTGACTGTCAGTAATACCTATTTTTTATTTAAACTTTTTCCATAGATGGTTCTTTAATATAATAGGACAAAAGATGAAATTCTGAATATGATTATAATTCTCACTTTTGCTGAGATATTAATGCTAAGTGAAGCAATTCACAAGTAGTCTCTTTATCAGATAGGTTAAATTATATTATTTCATAGTGATACTAAATGAAATTAATCATTAGTGTGTGTCAGGCTCATAAGATCAGAAAGCCAATTTAAGGGGAGTAAACAGTTGTTAATCGGGGTGCATGGGGCCATTGCTGGGTAATGCTGAACATGGACTTGATCGGTAACAAAGCTGTCTGTAACAGTGGTCTTGGGGTGGGAGATAGGGGTTAAATTGGATCCCTGCATTTATGCAAGTGCTTCTTTTAAAAGAAGCTTTCAGCAGGGAAATAACCAAAAGATGGGCATCAGAAAGGAAAAGAAGGACAATACATCAGATTAAGTAACAGATTGGGAGTTGACCCTAAGTTGGGCAGAGCAACAAGGTGTGCTTGTTGTCTTTCTGGGCAAGGCTTTCTTTAGTCACTACTTTTTAGATGAACTCTCTTATTATGGGTGCTCACAGTTTTTTTCATCAGTATGCCTCCATACCGTTAAATACATACAGTAAATTAGCAATCAAATTGATCCATATTTTAATGTCATTATTTCCCTAGTCAATTGAGCTTATTTATTCAGCTTTGTTTAGCCTTTTTTCTCCCTTAAGTTTTCTCATTTATTCCTTGAATGTCTGTAGCAATATAAAAAAACAAAATGTAATCGTATAAAGACACAGCTAATGGGCTATCAGGAATGTGCAGGGTCCTTTGCAATTGATTACATATTTGATTCTTTTGAAATATTTTTCAACAGTGGTCCAAATATTTTTGTTTCCATTTTAGAACAAAATCCAGTCTCATAGCAGAGGAGAATATAATGTTTACAGCACCTTCCAGAGCCATGAACCAGAGTTTGACTACTTGAAAAGTTTAGAAATAGAAGAAAAGATCAACAAAATTAGGTGGTTACCCCAGAAGAATGCTGCTCAGTTTTTATTGTCTACCAATGGTAAGTATACGTATTTTCTTTCCGTGTGCCTGTGGTGTGTACCTACCTGTTATACATATCCTGTAGACTGGGTTACTCTTCTCAAAGAGGAATCATTTAACAGAGATACTTGTAAAAAAGGACTTTTTTTTCTATACAGAATGTAAACTCTACTTTTACTTTTTTACAGTTCACTTTGCAGTTTTTAGATTTTCTGAAAGATCCTCAGATACCAATTTTTTGTTTACTACACCCCTAGTTTGTAGTGGAAAGAATGGGCTGCCACACCGTTGGATTTAGGACAGGTACTGTTTCTGTCACTTCTCAGTCTCGTAATCTTGGGCAGGTTACTAAGAATGAATTAATGAATTGAGTTTTCATCAGCAGCAAACTAGAGATGGTAATTTTTAATCGTATTACTACGAATATTAAATAACTCTTTACATACATCATGAGTGAAAGTGCTCAATAAATGTTAATTCAGTCCTCCTTTTTAGGTGTTCCTAAACTACATGGAGTGTTTCAACCTACATACAGAAAATACTCTAAGGATGGTCTCCATTCCAGGATACTCTATAGGAGAACACTCCTCCTACTTGACTACCATTAGCATATTGCCTTCTTCCCAGCAATCCACATGGCTGGAAGGAGATTCCTCTCCTTTTATACTTGCCCAGGAAAGTCGTTTGTTTTTTGAGACAATATATGTTGCCTAGGCCGGAGTGCAGTGGTATAATCATGGCTCACTGCAGCCTCAACCTCCCCTACTCAGTCTCCTGAGTAGCTGGGACCACAGGTGTGTGCCACCACACCCAGCTAATTAAAAAAAAAAAAAAAATTTTTGTAGAGAATGGATCTCCCTATGTTGCCCAGGCTGGTCTTAAACTCCTGGGCTCAAGCAGTCTGCCCCCTTCAGTTTCTCAAAGTGCTGGGATTACAGGTGTGAGCCACCACCAGGAAAAGTTAAATGAGGATTAAAAGTTAGTAATGGCTCTATCAGAAAATCCTTTATAATGAGTTGGATGCTTTTTTTTGTTCTTATAAAAAACTTTTTCCTGTGAATTGTTTGGACTTGTTTGAGGTCTTGAGTCTAAAGGGAATCTTTAGAGTGACTGAGGACATACTTTAGGTTCTGGGTAGCTGGATCATGAAAGCTCTCCCAGCCAGTCCATTGAGATTTGTACCCTCTGCCTTCTCTCTTATCACAATAAACTGCATTCCCCTCTCCTTATTCGAAGAAAAATAAACAGAAATAACTATTTAAAGTCTGTAACTCACAGCACCATGGGTAGAGGGAACAGTTTACTTCTGCCATATGCTAGCTTCTAGTCTTGGGTCAGTTTTAATTTATATGGTAAACTAAGTTATTTCAAATAGCTTCAGATATTTTAGGTACTGTTCAGTATTCCAGATATTTGAGACACTGTTCTTTGGCATCAGATGATACATAATTAAACCATTTATATAATTTCTACATTTAGAAGTAAATGTCCCTAGTAGGAAGTGTGTTTTTAACATTTTATATATTGGAATATTTTATGGCAGTTTATTGCTTATAGGGCTAAATCAGCTTTTTTTATAAAGAGAACTTTTAAAATGTAGGCTGAGGTCAAGAGAATAGTATAATGAAGTCCCACATCCTCATCATCCACTTCTGACACTCCTCGGTTCATGGCCAGTGTGTTTCTTGGATGCTTCTCCCTTCCCCTCCTCCTCATTGTTACTTGGAAGCAAATCGTATTTCAACTTGTGTGGATTAAACCTTATTTAAAGACATTACTGAATACATTGCAGATTTTTGTTTTTTGTTGCTTAATACTAAATACAACTAACTGGCGGGGTGGGGAGGGACTGTATTTTTTAATGCTAAAAATAATGCTTAATAATAGGGTCCAATGTGGAAGGATAAAGCACATTATGAGAGTCATTTGAACTATTGTGTCTGGGTATGATGGGAAAGGGATGGGATGAGTAGGACTTGAGCTATATATGAAAAACTATTTGGAAAGAGAGAAATTTAGAGAAAAATGACAACATCTGTTGATTCTGAGTGATACCTTTTATATTATTTTGTGTAGTTTTCTCTGTGAGTTAGAGCATAGTATCATCACCACCCCCTCCTCCCAATGTAATGGGTTATATAAAAACTACAGCTGTGGGAGAATGGTGGAAAATAGTAAAAACTTTCCAGGTTTGATTAACCAGAATTAATCTTATAAAAATCTTTGCATTGGCTTTTCGTGATCATTATGAACTGGGTTTCCCAGATCATTTTTACTTAAAGGACTTCATAGTCACCTTCTTATTAGTTGAGTTAATTTAGTGTTCCTTCAAGTGTTTTAATTCTCTTTTTCTTTAATCTTCTTTTGCCTCTCTGAATTATACTGCAGAAAACGTGAAACTGACCTGTTGACCGTGGGTCTTACATATATGAATAATACAAAATTCACTCATAAACAGGATGTGTTTTAACAATGTCTTGTTAAGAAGTTTTTAGGGTCTTACGTAAAGCTGCATTCCCACAAAGGAAACAGCAGCATGGTTTTCCCTGTTCGTACCCTCTGCTTGTGGTGAGAGGAGCTCTCTTCTTCTGCAGCTTCTGCAGTGCTTTAGTTGTCAGTGTTGATAATTCAGGGGAACAATTTCCCGCCTGCCTTGTCCCTACTATACTGAAATAACGTATCTATCCTAATTCTATGTGCCCTGTGTTTGTGTTAATGGAAAAAAATATTTTTAAAGAGCTTTGTTCCTGTAAACACTATTAGCTACTACAAACTAATTTCATCTCATCTGAAAGTTTTATAAATACATTGTGGTTTCTTTATTTGGATCCTTAATAAGGAGGATGGATTTAAACAGGCCACAAGACAATTGGGCCAGGGACAGAGGTGTTGTCATCCTCACCACAAATATTTCTCAAAATACAGATTTAGGCCAGGCTCATACCTGTCTATAAATTGTGTAATTTATAAAGTAAATAGCACATCAAAAACCTGTATGACTGAACCTACAAGACAGTTATAAACAAGATCACATAGGGCATAGAAGAAAAATAGATTACAGATTATCAAAGTTAGCAGCTTTTCTCTGTTTATACTTCGTCATTGAGAAGGGCATCCATAGGGGCAACTATCATTCTTCTCTACGATAAAGAGATTACCAGGCTAGACTCACTGGTATCTCTCTCAGTTGTTTTTAACTGTTTTTATAAAATGGCTTTATATACTGTTTTAAACAATTTTGTTACACCCATTGCTTATGAAAGATCGTTAGGAATGTGATGCTTTTCTCTAAGAATGGTATTTTATGATTATAACAGTTTTAAATCAATATACATGAGCCTATAGTGATATAAATGAATTATTGAATGGATAAATGGAGAGAAGGGATGCTTCCTGCAGCAGAATTCTAAATAACATGTGGATACACACTCTTCCCTACAAGGAGTTTAACTTATTTCTCCCTTTAAGTATGGGCTGGACTTTTAGTGACTCACTTCCAAAGAATAGCATATGGGAAGGGTGAAAGAGTAATTGTATAGTGGAGAAGCCTGGCAAACAGTATCTTAACTAAATGACCAAAGTTAACAAACACCACCAGCTGTAAGTCATGTTGATACTATGTATCCCCTTGAACAGTGCTGTGAGAAGTCACTTCACCTTTCTGTTCTTTTCCTAAAAACCCATGGTCCCAGTCTGATCATGAAGAAACAGGCAAGTCCAGTTGAGGGATATTCTACAAAGTACCTCACCATCACTACTCAAAACTGTCAAGATCAAGAAAAATAAGGCGAGTCTGAGAAACTTAAAAGCAGAGAGACTAAGGAAACTTGATGACTAAAATGTAGTAGTGTTTGAATTCTGGAACAGAAAGGGAGTGTTAGTGGAAACCCTGGCTAAATCTCCAAATGAAGTCTATAGTTGAGTTAATAGTAATGTATAATGTCAATGTCTTAGTTTTGACAAACATGTTGACAGAAGAAACTGGGTAAAGGATATACACTACAATTTTTGCAACTTTTCTGTAAATCTAAATTGTAAAACAAAAGTTTGTTTTTAAACAGATGCCATTGTATATATCCTTGATACCCAGGAATTTGTCTACTTGAAGGACTTGGAGTGTATGCCTTTAACCAGTCAGTTTTCTACAGTCCTTGTTTTCTACTTTATGAACTCTGATAAAAGGGGGAAACGTTTAAAAAAGGAGGCATCCAGTCCTTTGGAGGCCTCTGTGGAGTCTTTGACAGGATCTGCTAAGAAGTGAGAGCAAGGGAAACCAGCTTTACTATTTTGATTATACATACAGGCAGTCTTAATCAACTTCATTGTTCCCTTTAAATTTTTAAAAATTCATTATTGAGCATGTATGAGTATATGTTTACATGTATGTATAGGCATATGTGTTTGCATACACCACACATGCATATGAAGTTTTTCCCCTCTAGCTTTAATTACTTCTAAGGGATAGGGATAGAGACCTGGCTGTGTCTTGATTTGACTGTCACGTGGAATTTATATAAGTGCTATTAATCTAGAAATTTGTGATCTTTCTTCTTTATTTCTATTTATGGTTTTATTCAGCAGATAATAGGAAATTTTTTAGTAAGTCAGATTAGGGGTTTTTTTTAATGGAATTATTTTAGGTGAAATGTGGAATAGCATATTTTAAATGCCTTAAAATGTTTTCTTCTTCTTCAGTATTACCCTTTTATTTTAAGGACTTTCTTTATTTTCTTCCCAGATAAAACAATAAAATTGTGGAAAATCAGTGAAAGGGACAAAAGACCAGAAGGGTATAACTTGAAAGAGGAAGATGGAAGGTATAGAGATCCTACTACAGTTACTACACTACGAGTAAGTACATAAGGAAAAAAAGTCACAAATGGTGTTTGTGTTCATATTATATAACCCAAACCCTGACCAGAGCTTGAATAGAAATAATTACAGTCTGTCTCCCCTTTCCCAGTAATTCTGTAATCAGGTAGAACATTGAATGACTTATTTAAATGTAGAAACTGACCTACATAGAGGTTTCACTTTCGCCAGGGACAGACGCAGGACTAAAACACAAGACAGTGTTTCACGTCATCAGACTCAGTCTCAGGTTTGTAATGTTAGCTATTACAAGGTCAAGTTTCAAGGTAACTTTTGTTTGGAAATCAAAAAAGTAGATATAGATAAAATCTTCTAGCTGTAGCTAAAAAAATACCAAGAATTGCATGTTATGGGTTAATTTTCTTTTTAGCCTCTTTATTTTAAACCATAAACATTTATTAGCTTGACATGTCTTTCAAGTGAAATTCGAACTAAGAACTTCAAATTATAATAGTATTGCTATCAGTGAAAGAGATATATTATCCACATTGTTCATTTTTCTTCTTCCCATTTCAACACTTGAAAGGATCAACTTCAGTTGCTTTTTGAAATTAAATCTACGTAATATTGTTCTATTTTATGTTCTCAAAAACTAAAATGAAGTTTTCTGAATCGTAATTGCTATTTGAAACTGAGCCTTATGTAATTTCTGTTTTTCATGTGTCTTATTGACAGGTGCCAGTCTTTAGGCCTATGGATCTAATGGTTGAGGCCAGTCCACGAAGAATATTTGCCAATGCTCATACATATCACATCAATTCAATTTCTATTAATAGTGATTATGAAACATACTTATCTGCAGATGATTTGCGGATTAATCTTTGGCATCTGGAAATTACAGACAGGAGTTTTAGTATCCATTTGGTTTTCTTCTTTGGTGTTTGGTGAAGAAGGCATGTTGTGCTTATACTGAATTTATTTCATCTCTCCTTCGTGAATTGATTCATTTTTGTAGTCTCTCTATATATGTATAGCACCTTATTTTTTCTTTGTACATGAGTAATGGAATACTGGAGAAAGTTATTTGCTAAACATAAAGGGCATAATGTATTGATTTAAAAATTGGATTCATGGAATTTTAAGGAATTTGTCTATTGTACTGTGGAAATACGAACTTTTTTATAATTTAGCTTTTTATTTTAGAAAATCAAATTTGTGAGGGCTGTGCATGGTACGTCATGCCTGTAATCCCAGTGGTTTAAGAGACTGAGGTAGAGAGATCACTTAAGGTTACTGTGAGCTATAATCATGCTTCTGCACGCTAGCCTAGGTGACAGAGCAACACCCTGTCTCTAAAAAAAAAAAGAAATTTTTTTTTCTTCTAATCAAATTATGGACTATTGTAATTTGAATTTTTTATTATACTCATTAAGAACAGAAAAAGAAATTCGTGCAAGTCATGATGCATGATTGGGTCAATAAAAAATATTCTATTGAAAAAATTTCTCCAGACCTCATTTTTATTGTTTATATTGTACTCCTCAAGTTCTGTGCATATACAGATGTGCGATAAACATAAGTATCTGTACACATGCATATAATACATGCATATAGAGATGTATATTTATGTATTGATGTTTTTTAAAATTCTTGGCAAATGTCAGCAGCTGTTAATGCTGTTAATATACTGTATTGTACAAATAGATACTACTTGAAAAGTTAACAGAGCTTTACATAATTCATACTCTACCAACAGTGTATAAGAGTCTGTTTCCTTATACCTTTCCCAGTCTTCTGAGGGACAGAGTTCTCTTTTGTTGTTTTTATTTGCATTTCTGTAATCATCATAGACATAAGCATCTTTTCATGTTCATCAGACATTTATATTTCTTTTTGTTCTTTTCTATTTTTTTCCCACTGGATATATTTATTTTTTTATTATTATTTTATTTTTTTGTGATGGAAACTTACTCTGTCGCCCAGGCCGGAAGTCCAGTGGCGCAATCTTGGCTCACTGCAACCTCTACCTCCTGGGCTCAGGCAATTCTTCTGCCTCAGCCTACCTAATTGTTGGGACTACAGGTATGTGCCATCATGCCTGGCTAATTTTTTTTGTATTTTTAGTAGAGACAGGGTTTTTCACCATGTTGGCTAGGCTGGCCTTGAACTCCAGACCTCATGATCCGCCCACCTTGGCCACCCAAAGTGCAGGGATTACAGGCCTGAACCACCGTACCCAGCCATATATTAATTTTTTTAAAGCACTTTGTGTTAAGTAAATTAACTCTATTGTTCGTCGTGCAGTTTTCCTTTTTCACCCTCGTAAGGGTTTTGTTTTGGAATTCTCTTACTGTTTACTGTTTATGAAGATAAATGTATCACCAATCTTTATGGCTTCTGAGACCTGTGACCCGCTTGGACAGACCTCTGTGTTCTAAAATCAGTGGTTCCCAACCTTACTAGCACTAGGGATTGGTCTCATGGAAGACAATTTTTCCACAGAATGGGGTGGTCAGGCAATGGTTTGAGGAAGAAACTTCCACCCCAGGTCAACAGGCATTAGATTCTCATAAGGAACACACAACCTAGATCCGTCGTATGTGCAGTTCACAATGGGGTTCAGCTCCTATGAGACTCTGATGCCGCTACTGATCTGACAGGAGGCTGAGCTCCAGCAGTAATGCTTGCTTGGCCGCTGCTCACCTGCTGTGCGGCCCAATTTCCAACAGACCACAGACCAGTACCAGTCTGTAGCCCAAGGGTTGGGAACCCCTGCTACAATGATTTAAAACTTGCCTATTTTATTCTGATATTGTTCATTTAGGTAGATTTTAGCACTAAATGTGTTAATCCCAGGCTGGGTGCAGTGGCTCACATCTGTAATCCTAGCACTTTGGGAGGTGGAGGCAGGCAGATTTCCTGAGCGCAGGAGTTCAGGACCACCCTGGGCAACATGGTGAAACCCCATCTCTACTAAAATACAAAAAATTAGCCTGGCGTGGTGGCATGTGCTTGTAGTCCCAGCTACTTGGGGGGCTTAAGACAGGAGAATTCCTTGAATGCAGGAGGCAAAGGTTGCAGTGAGTCGTGCCTACACGACTGCACTCCAGCCTGCGCTACAGAGCAAGACTGTCACCAAAAAAAAAAAAAAAAAAAAGTTTTAGTCCCTTTGGAATTTATACTCACAAAAAGAGGGGAATGCAATTCAGAATTAATACTTGTGCTTAGGTCTGTGAGTGGATTTTAGGTTTAAGGGATGTAGAATTATATTTGCCCTTTTTTTTCTAAGTGGAAATTCCTTAATAAAATGCTATCTAGACATTGTGGATATCAAGCCTGCCAATATGGAAGAGCTAACAGAGGTGATTACAGCAGCGGAATTCCATCCAAACAGCTGTAACACATTTGTATACAGCAGCAGTAAAGGAACTATTCGGCTCTGTGACATGAGGGCATCTGCCCTTTGTGATAGACATTCTAAATGTAAGTTTCTCTTTTCTTAAAATGATTAAAATGTAAGTTTGTTTTTCCGTAAAATGATTACATATTCTCTTTGTCTGAAGTGAGCCTCACACATGGTAAGTGTAATTACAGAGGTTTACAAGTCTTAAACGTGTGTCCAGGGCCACCTGTACCCTTGGTAATCTGCCTCCCTTCTCATGAGGCATAACAGATTTTTCCCTAGAAGCACGTAGTTAAGCTCTCTTGGAGGGCATGTCTGTTGATTGCCAAGAAATGGATTTCTTGTGGAATGTTGTTGTTCTTTGGGAACTTGTGGTTGGGCTCTCTAACCTTGTATTCAAGCAGAGCTGCTCCTTTCTTTTTCCCATTCTCCCTCATTCTTCCCTTCCTATTTTGAGCTTCCTAGGAAGAAGCTCATTCCTTCCTTCCTATTTTGAGCTTCTGAGATGAGGTTTTCTTGGCTTAAAAATAAATAAATAAATAAATAATTTTGGTTTTAAAACTTCAGGATACAATATTCTTGTCTTGTTGAATATTAACTCATGCAAATTGATACATGCCTGTTACCAAAATAATTTTACCTGGCTGCTGGAAAATAAAATCCTGGTGTGAATTTGATGGGCAAGGATGGTGTGTTTCTCATGGTGATATATAGGCAGTCAGTATATGCCAGTAAACCTGGTGCACTGAAGTCAGAAGTCCCAGGTGAGTCTGGTTCTAAATTAGTCACACGAGTCTGGAAATATACGGCATACTTGTGCATCTTCAACTTCAGTATTCAATTATCCAAAAAAGCTTTCAGGAGAATTCTAGCCAGAGAGATGTTTTTCAGTTCTTTATTAGCCTGGCATTTTATCTCACTTGTAGGGAGTTTGTGAATGGTTGTTTAGGAAATACTTTGTCCAAGCCAGAATATTGTACACTTTGCCCTTTTTGTGTTGTTTTGTTTTGTTTTTAGTGTTTGAAGAACCTGAAGATCCCAGTAACAGGTCATTTTTTTCCGAAATCATCTCCTCTATTTCGGATGTAAAATTCAGCCATAGTGGTCGATATATGATGACTAGAGACTATTTGTCAGTCAAAATTTGGGACTTAAATATGGAAAACAGGCCTGTGGAAACATACCAGGTATTTGCAGTTTTTTCTTTCAATGAGCATATACCCTGTTTACTTTGTACAGAGAAGGATTTTGTTAACTAGGTTTTAATCCGTGTATGGTGTTTGTTCACTATTAGGCCTTTTCCCTCAGAGATCTATAAGTATGTTGCTTTTCCTTATGTTAAGTGTATATATACTTACCTAGGTTGTGTCGTCTCTTGAGTTTTGCAGTTAAAGTGTGATTTTGCTACCCATTTGGTTCAGTATTGACTTTTTTTTTCCTGCCACTATGTACATTTAAAGTGAGGAAGGAAGAGCACCCTTCATTAAGTTCTGGGCAGGAAGGGGATTGGGGAAAGTGGCCAGTCCTAGTAGAGGTGCACCTGCTCAGGTTGGGGGAGTAGTTGAACTAGAGATTAAACTTGGTGTGCCAAGTCAAATGGAATGGTGTTCTGCCTTTTGGCAGATAACTGTTGTCTTCTGCTAAAGGAGAAGGGCTTGAAAGCCTTAGCAGATGGCTTTAGGAGTTGTCTATCTGATGTTGGTTGTCAGTTCTTGATTCTCTTATCAGACAGCCACTGCTGTTGATCCATGTCCACTACATCAAACAGAGAAGAGAATGAAGAAGTACACAGCCTGGAACAGGGTGAGGGCCAGCACAAACCTGTGCTAGGTCCTAGACTGCAGTGTTGAAGTCACTTTAATTCATACTTATACTTTAGTCATGTTATATATTCTCAATAAACTTGGAAGTACATTTCTCAAACTTTTAAATCCTCTCACAAACATAAACCAAGATTCTATTTGATATGTGAAATTTCAGAATACTGCACTGAAACAAAAGCCAAAAAGACAAAATACTGCTTTGCTTTCAAAGTATAGTTAACTATTGAGCAACACGGATTTCTTTGAACTGCACGGGTTCACTCATACACAGTTTTTTTTTTTTCCAGCTAATGAACATTTGAAAATACACTATTTGAGGGATGCAAATCCCTGAAATATATAGAGGGCCAAAACTTCATCTGTGAAGGGCTAACTGCAGATTTGGGTATACCTGGGGTTCTTGGATACTGAGAAATGATTTCTATTTGTGTAACTGCCAGGATTGATATATCATCTCCCAGTTACCCTCACCACCATTTCATTCCCATTGAGAATAATTGATTTGAACCTTACCTTCATACTGATGTATACTGAGAAACCCTGTAACATGCATCCTAAAATGTTGCTAAATTATGATGATCTACCTAATTTTACCTGATTTGCTACGTTTCTACGTATAATCACAGTGATTAAAAGTAATCACATTATAGGCAAATGTATTATATATAGATACAACTACTTTTATTGAATTTGTACCAGCATCTTGCTTAGTTTTGTGTGATTAAAGGGTATTTTTATCTGGTGTGTGTGTGTGTGTGTGTGTGTGTTTGTTACATGCTCCCTTTTCATGCTAACCCCACATGAATAACAATTCCTCTGTATTACAGATTTTCACCTAATGTCACAGACATGGCCTGAATCATTCCACTATATTTAAAGTTAAAATGGACACTGAAAATAAGTTTAGATCGTTTCATATAGAATAGAGAATTCTAACATTTAGAAGGCACCTACTCGTTTCTGTCATTTCTCCTTAAGTAGCTCCTTAAAAAGATGGTGAAATAGACACTTATTTTTTCCTTTTGAGTTACAGCAAATACGTTGGAACTTTTGTAATTAATAATGTTGAAATACGTCATATTTCTCAGACTACTTTTTAAATATGAGATTCATTTATAAGTAATATATGATACTATCAAATTTGTAATAATATATGCCCAGGATAACCATATATCTATAACTAGGATAAATAGGTATGCCCAGGATAACCATATAATTTATCACCAAACCAAGGCATGGGTATGCTATGCAAACATGTGCATTTATAATTGAAAAGACAAGCTTCAGTTAAATTTATGTCCAGAAAATGGTATTTAAGAAAGAAATAGGTAGCCGGGTACGGTGGCTTATACCTGTAATCCCAGCACTTTGGGAGGCTTTTGCAGGCGGATCATGAGGTCAGGAGATTTGAGACCATCCTGGCTAGCATGGTGAAACATCCGTCTCTACTAAAATACAAAAAAAATAGCTGGGCATGGTGGCGTGCACCTGTAGTCCCAGCTACTCAGGAGGCTGAGGCAGGGGAATCGCTTGAACTTGGGAGATGGAGGTTGCAGTGAGCCGAGATCACACCACTGCACTCTAGCCTGGCAACAGAATAAGACTCTGATTCAAAAAAAAAAAAATAGAAATAGGTACAGTTTCAGTGTTGCTATCAGTAGTTAATGGATTGAAAGCCAACAATAGTGATATTCAGATATTGCTGTAATGTTTTTTTATTAGCCTCTTACCTGTGTAATTTTCAAGTATTTTTTCGCCTGAATGTTTTATTCAGACTTATAAAGGACATGCATGTCACACCCAGAATGGAGTTTTCCCTCGTCATACCAGTACTAAATAAATGTGCCTCCCTGAAGGGCTTGTGTGTTTGTAAAAGGACAAAATGCCTTTATTGTTACTAAGAAGATTGAGATTAATAAGTTTAAAAGGTGTGTGTGTGTGTGTGTCTCTATATGCTTTTTTTTTTCTTTTTAAAGATATGGACTTGTTAAATAATTTTCCTAATTTCACTTCGGTATGTTTGTATTTTTTCCATAGGTGCATGAATACCTCAGAAGTAAACTCTGTTCACTGTATGAAAATGACTGCATATTTGACAAATTTGAATGTTGTTGGAATGGCTCTGACAGGTAATTGATTTTAAGTCAAACCTCTCATTCAAATGTGAACTTTATTAGAGAAAAGAAACAACTATTTCATTCTAAGTCCTAACCTCATTCGTCCCTGGGAATTCCTTGAAATAAATTTAGTAATCTTAGATACAGCACAGCAGTACTGGCAGATAAGAATTAAGCATTGTATTTTGCTAGTAAATATAAAAGTATACAAATTCTAGATAATCTAAATTATTTAAATGTCTAGAAATTTCTTTCTTTTATGAACCAGATCACATTTCTGACATGCCAACCATTAAAATGGTGAAGCTTCAGTTTGGTGGTTATTCCACCATTAAACTGTTTTAGAAGCATTCAGGTGGCAGATAATTCATTTGGATTGTTAGAGGCACCAAGTTTTCCAAATGCTACATTAACACCCCATACAAGTGGTAATGCATATGTATGTTATGTATGTATTATGTTAACCATAATATATATGGTTAAAATATTAGGAATAGTTAGCTTTGCTTTTTATCATTTCTAGTTTTGCCATAGTGTGATTCCTTTTTAGTGAAATGTTACCATTTTTTAAAGTAAGTCCTACTTTGAGTCTTTTAGTTGTCTGTTTGCCACTGTGTTCCAGTAGAACAGAAAGTAGTAAAAGAAAACATGATTTTGGAATTAAACTTAAAGTAATTAGAGATACTGTATTTAACAACAGCTTTATCACAGAGCTTAATATGATTCAGGTTTCATGCTGTTACATGTTACAGAAGATAACAGAACTTACAGAATGTTTTCTTAAATCTGGCTTTTGAAATTACCTGATTTTGGCATGAGGACTAGTAAACCTAGAGCTCTATTGGTAGCAAACATTGCCTTTAAGCGTACTACTAAACCTGAGGCATCAGGAAGAGAGAAGGAAAGGGAAGAAGGGAAAAAAGATTAAGAAATGCGAAGAGAGCTCCTGAACTAGGATGTGACGCACTGCTACCACTAGGTCTTCCTTGTATTGTTGAAGCAGATAATTAGCGATTGTATGTTCTGTCATCAGAAGGAAATTATTTATTTTCCTTAATATTAAAATTATTTTTAAATTATTTCAAACTTAGAGAACATTTGTTAGAATAACAAAGAACTCTTCATTTGGCCTTTACCCAGGTTCCCCTGTTGCTGTTTGCTGTATCACATGGTTTATTCTCCCTTTATTTATAGCTATGTTTGTCCACAGGTGCACGCACATGTGCTCACACACACACAACTTGTGTGCCAGATGTGATGCTCATTACCCTGAATTCTTGAATGAGTATTTCCTGACAAAAACCCTTTTCCACATAGTGACAGTGTAGCATCCAAAGCAGCGCTCACAGTGATGCGGTACTGCCATCTAATCCACAGACCGATTGAAGCTCACAAGTTACTATAACTGTGTCCTTTATGGTACAGAAGAGTCAGTCTAGCTCGGTATCCAATCCAGAGTTTGGTTGTCATCTTTTGTTAGTCTCCTTTATTCTGAAAGAGTTCCTCAGTCTCCTTATCTTTCGTGACCTCGGCATTTTGAAGAACATAGGCTGGTTATTTTATAGAATGTTTCCTTGTGATTAGATTCGGGCTGTACATTTTTGGCAAGAATGCCACAGAAACACTGGCCTAATTGATACCTTTTTAAAGTTTCAAATAGCCACAGAGTAGGTGTCCTAATCCATTAAAACTTCACAAACTCAAATGATACAGGGATGTCAATCTAAATTACATAAACCGTTTTCAAAGAAATTGTTTTATTGTCTTCAGGGGTTGGTTAAAATTGTTGTCAAGTGTCCTTTTGGAATTGACATTGCTAAATAGATAATCATTTGTACTTTGAACAATTCCCCAGTGTCCGGCAATCCTTGTTTACAGTAATAATTTGAACTGTGTGGCAAGCAGTGGTTGCAGCAGACCGTTTCCAAATTATTAAGAGCTTCGGACTTAACAAAGTTTTGTTTGCAAGGATGCATAGTAAATGTTGAGCAGTAATGGGTGGCAAGTAGAACTGATAAGGAAGTGTCTTGGGCAGTTTAAAAACTTTGCCTCCCCTTTAAACTGATACTTCTACAAATATTTGCTTAAAATATTTTTAGTGGTAAAAGTAAAATGAGGCCAGGCATGGTGGCTCACACCTGTAATGCCAGCACTTTGGGAGGCTGAGGCAGGTGGATCATGGGGTCAAGAGATCAAGACCATCCTGGCCAACATGGTGAAACCCTGTCTCTACTGAAAATACAAAAATTAGTTAGGCATGGTGGCACGCTTCTATAGTCCCAGCTACTCAAGAGGCTGAGGCAGGAGAATTGCTTGAACCCGGGAGGTGGAGGTTGCAGTGAGCCAAGATTGTGCCATTGCACTCCAGACTGGGCAAAGGAACAAGACTCCATCTCCAAAAAAAAAAACAAAAACAAAAACAAACTCTTGTTCTGCTTGTTTGATTGAGTGTTCTGTCTACTTTCACAGTGTTGTCATGACTGGATCTTACAATAATTTCTTCAGAATGTTTGACAGAAACACAAAGCGAGACATAACCCTAGAAGCATCGCGGGAAAACAATAAGCCTCGCACGGTTCTGAAACCCCGCAAAGTCTGTGCAAGCGGCAAGCGAAAGAAAGATGAAATAAGTGTTGACAGCTTAGACTTCAATAAGAAAATCCTTCACACAGCCTGGCACCCCAAGGAAAATATCATTGCTGTAGCTACTACAAACAATCTGTATATATTTCAAGACAAAGTGAATTAGGGTTGGCATTCCTAGCAGAAGAACCCACTTCCTGCTTAGTTGAGATAGTTGAATCTAGCATTCGTTCCTATAAGAGAGAGGTCCATTGTGGCACCCCTTTCCAGTGTTTGACAGTGTGCCATTCGACAACACATTGTTATAGCTACATGGAGAAAGCTCTGTGGATTCATCACTGGTGTTCTCCATGTCTGCTAGCCATTTAGGTAAGGGTAGGGCACTTTTAATTTAAATGACTTCTTGCACCATCTTGCCTAATGGACTAGATTGGACTGTATCAACATTGATTTACTCCACTTTTTATGCCTTCCATTGTGATGACGTCAAACACAGTGAAAGCCTTCAGTCATGCTATGGGATTTAATTGTGTATCCTCATTACTGTATCATTTGTGGGGTACACCCCTTCCCCCTTTTTTTAAATTAAATACAGCTCATTCTTACTGTGGCTTGTAGCATTCCTCCTCTTCTGGCCTCCTGGACTCCTCCCCTTCATCTCTCTTACCCTTGCCCCTCCACCCGGTCTTGGTGGTGGTATATTTAAAAAAGAAAGAATGAAAGCACACAAAATGAGTCAGTTTGGGGTCAGTGGTATAAAGGGGGTATATGTTGCGAACAAATGTTTTAATAACAGTTGGCTGTAATCACTCCTCGCCGTGTCTGGCACTGAAAATAAGGGGAAAAAAACCTACTACTGAATAAAAGTGACAAAGAATGGAGAATCTGGTTTTCTTTTTCTTTTTAACCTACCTCTTAAAGCCAATATTTTGTGTCATACCTTTAGGCACAGTGAAACAAAATGGGTTTTCATTGTTTTATTGGTATTTTTGTTAATTATTTTTAACAAGTGTTCTTTTACATGCAGAAGGAGAGGTATTGGTTATGTATGAACATATTTTGAATATATATTGGTTTTATTAAGAATTTCACAATCTATAAATGATACTAGAGTTTTTTTCTTTTTACCGTTGTCATGACGGTATTGGATACGTTTTATCTCTACTTAACTCGATATCTGTTAATGAAATTGTTGTAAATGGGAACCAAATTTGTAGAACTTAATTTCTAAATACTTTCTACAGTGCTTAATTTCATTTTTGCCTTACTAAATACTAAGTCAAAGACTTATAAAACATTTTTAACAAAAGTTTTTTTGTCATTCATAGAGCAGAAAACTAACATCAAGTGACACTGCACTACTTTTTTTTTTTTTTTTTTTTTTTACTGCTATCAGAATGAAATTTTCTTTTCTATAAATATTTTTCTTCTATTTTTGGTTTTCCAAAGCTATATTAAAGACAAATTTTTAAAGGTACAGCGTTCAAAAAGTGCTTAATGAACTCCAACAGCTGCCTCAAATAAACATCTGGTCATCTGTATATGAGTACATTTTCCCTAAGTGGTGATACCTTATCCAAAGATGAAGAGTGCTCCTATTTTTAATAGGTAGAATGTACCTTTGTCAGTCTTGCAGAAGCTTTAATGGAGAAGAAATGGACTTTATTTTTGAAAGGTGAATTGAACAGGCATTTATATTATTAAAGAATGGTAGTCTTATTTTGGTTGAACGTAATATAACAACCTTGAATTTCAGAGGACTCTTGAGTGCTTCTATGTCCACTACTTACTGTTCTATTATTCAATAATGAAAAAGAATTAAATGAGTCTATCGTGATTCCCTCTACACTACTACAAATATTATGTCTTGTAAGTTAACATTTTTAGCACACAGAAGAAATTTTATGTAATAAAATTACTGTATCTTTTGGACTTAACAAATTTGGATTTGTATTTGAACACATTGATTCTATGTCTGATAATTCTTAATGGCACTTTTACTAATTTATTGGGGGATCTTGGGTACATTCTTAATTTGTGTTATTTATTCTTCACACTTGACTTGCAAGTGGGATATTCCCCTGTCAGAAGTGTCACTGTCAGAACAGTGATACCCTTCCTGTGTTCTGACTGGACAGCTTTCCAGATTTTTTTTTGGGAGATTTTCCTACAACTTGGTTGTGTGTCTTGAGATAACACCACCAAACAGCTCTCAGAAATTCTTTTTTGATTGATCGGTAGCTATGATGATTCTCCTCCATGACACTAAGGATTAGTTTATATATTTAAGAGAAATTATTGCTAAAATTAAAATGCCTCTATCAAGGAATGCTATTATAAATTATTGTTAACATTCTCAAGTATTAATTTTTTAATTTCATTGGTGTAGCAAACTATAAGCCCAGCCACTCATTTTACATGGCCATGGTTAATCTTTTTATTAATAAAAATTATACTTAGAATAAACTTAGTCTTGTCAAGTTGCTTGTATTTCCTATTCTCTTGCCATTAATACACGTGCACATATTCCATCCCTTCTCTTAACCTTTTAGAAAAGATTGTGGTAGGAAAGGACCTTCATTCTATTAACCACTTTTTATCTCTAGTTAGTGGCTGGGCAGTAAGAAGAATTAGTTTATAAATCTGTCTAAATACATGTTTAACCATTAACTGCTGGATGGTAAGCTTATGTGCAGCCCTCTGTCTCTTGGAATTTAAAAAACAATGCATCTATGCAATTTTTTCGTTTCAAAATGAGAATTTTTTAAACCTTAAATGTGAGTTATTAAGCTAGAGAGAGGAAAGCAGGTTCAGTGTGTGACTATTTTTTGAGTAAGGTGTTTATTAGGAAATTGTGCACATATGAAAACTATGCATACTGATAAAGAATTTTTATCTTTTTTCTACTACACATAAATTCAAATGGAAATAGTATTATGTATTTCCAGAAGAATAAAACCAGTGCCTTGCAAATGATGGGAAAGATAGGTGTATGCTGGGTAATCAAGAATCAAGTCAGTTTACTTGTGCATTTGAAAGCACCTCTATTTTAGTATCTTATTTATCTGTTCCAATGGCGATAGTTTAAGCTCCGTGTGTACGTCTTAGCGTGGTTAAAAAGGGGGCTTTCTGCACCTCTTCCCCTCCAAAAAAAGCCTTGGGAAATGACCCTCCTTTTTGTAATGATGCACGAGATCAGAACATTACAACTCTTAATCAAATGCTTAGCGTTACTATGGAATCTTGAGGTGTTCTCAAGATGGCGGAGATATTTTTGTAATCGAGTTTGTCTCAACATTTTAGGCACAGTGGTATTAGACTGTAACCTTTTACCTCTGTATTAGAATTAAGAAACACCACTTTACAGGCTTAAAGTTAAGTCTCTCTCTAGCTCAGTGCTTATCGAAGAGAAGGCACTACAACGCTTAATTTCCTCTAAAAGGAATTCAGCAAAAACTGCCATAAGGGGAAAAGCTAATATTTTGTGTTTTTTTCAAATGTTCTACTCATGCTCCTTTGTAATCTGAATAGCAACACGTTCTTTGAGGACTTTCCCATTAGGGGGCAGTGGTGGGGAGCGGTGGCTCATGCCTGTAATCCCAGCACTTTGGGAGGCTGAGGTGGGAGGATCACTTGAGACCAGCCTGGGCGACAAAGCAAGACCCCATCTCGACAAATAATAGATGTATCTTAAGAAATATATTTTAAGAAACCACTAGGGGGCGATCGTTAAATCTTGAACAGCAATGGTGAGGTATTTTTGAGAATTAAACGGGAGTCTCTGTACAAGAAGGGCTTCATTTATTAAAAACAAAATCAGGGCCCAAATACAGCACATTGTGTGCCCCAAACCACTGTTCTATGACCCTTGAGTAAATATTTGAGAACCTAGTGGAGGGGGGACACAAATGCCCACTGTGATGTCATTACTTACATTGTACTACAATAAAGTAACACAATATAAGTAGTACAAGTCATGACATCACAGTGGGCATTTGGTTATGGCCAGCTAATTTTTGTATTTTGCAAGTATCTTATTGAGTAGGTTGCATCAATGTTCATGAAGGATATTGATCTACAATTTTTTATATATTTTAATGTGACTGTCCGATGCTGATCTCATTAAATGAATTTTCCTCTCCTGTATTACTGAAGAATGTGGACAAAATTGGTGTAACTTCTTCCTTCAGTGTTTGGTAGAATTCACTAGTGATAAATTATTAAATATTCTATCAAAGGTCACATTACTGAGTCACTATAAGGAGAACGTTTGTCCCTTTTCAGAAATGAAATGTATTCCTGCTCTATTCACTAAGTTGCCCAGCATGGTTAACAGAATGAAGCGTCATAATTAGAGTTCGTCAAAAACCATTTTGCTTTCTTAAGAGTATCTTTGAAAACGTTAATTTCTTAGCCTAAATCTGTATCAAAGTTTTGCTGCCCAACACTTAACTTAGCAATCCCTACAAAGATTGACTGAGCAGGTAGTGTAGTTGTCAAGTAACAGCAAAATGGTTAGGATGTGCTGGAGTGCCACACTAGGGACCCTGTGAGTTAAAGAAAATATAAAATGATTTTTCGAGACAGGGTTTTAAACTCTTGTCACCCGGGCTGCAATGAGGTGACCTGATCATGGCTCACGCAGCCTTAACCTCTTGGGCCCAATCAGTCCTCTCATCTCGGCATCCCAAGTAGCTGGGGCTACAGGCACCTGCCACCACACCCAGCTAACTTTTTAAAAGTTTTTGTAGATGTTGTCCAGGCTGAACTGCTGAGCTCAAGTGATCCTCCCAAGTCCACTTCCAAAATGTGGGGATCTGGTAACCATTTGAGTTTGTACCTCCTCTTTGGCTTTAAAATTAAGACCAAACCAGGCAAAACTACTCATAATGGGTATGGTATTATGGAGTCAATGCTCAAAATAAAACATCTTGCAGACCCCTCACATCGTTTTTTTTCTTTTCTTTCTTTCTTTCTTTTTTTTTTTTTTTTTTTGAGACAGTCTTACTCATCACCCAGGCTGGAGTGCAGTGGTGTGATCACAGTTCACTGCCACCTTAACCCTGAGCTCAGGTGATCCTCCCACCTCAGCCTACCGGGTAGCTAGGACTGCAGGCATTTACCACCACACCCTTTTGTATTTTTTGTAGAGATGGGGTTTCACCGTGTCACCCAGGCTGGTCTCAAACACCAGTGCACTCCAGCCTGGGTGACAGAACGAAACTGTCTCAAATAATAAAATAACAAAAAGTAAAATTTTTATTACTCAAGTTTATTACCTTATCAAAATCATAATAATAAATAATAGTATTTATATCCAGAAGCTATTGCCACAATCAAGTAATAGAAGTATAACGATATCTAAAATGAGAAAAGTGGGGCCGGGCGTGGTGGCTCACACCTGTAATCCCAGCACTTTGGGAGGCCGAGGCACGTGGATCACAAAGTCAGGAGTTTGAGACCAGCCTGACAAACATGTGGAAACCCCGTCTTAAAAAAAGCGGGTGGATCACTTGACGTCAGGAGTTCAAGACCACCCTGGCCAACATGGTGAGACCCCCCCCATCTTTATTACTAAAAATACAGAAAAGCTGGGCGTGGTAGTACACACCTGTAATCCCAGCTACTCAGGAGGCTGAGGCATCAGAATCACTTGAACCTGGGAGGCGGAGGTTGCAGTGAGATGGGATCCTGCCACTGCACTCCAGCATGGGTGACAGTGAGGGGAAAAAAAAGATCAACTAAAAAATGGGTAGTAGTGGTAAAGGTGGAAGAAGGGGAATTATACTAATTTCATTACCGTTCCTTGCTGGGCATTAAAAGAAACTAAGGAAAAGGATTAGGAGGATTATATAAATATATATAAAGGTAACTGAACAAAAATTAAAATCTCAGGTGAACACAACTAAGCACCAATAGTGACAGTAAAAACCTAAACAATTATCTTGAGATTGAACTGAGGACAAAATTATGACCATGTTAGTGAAACAGAGATAGTTATGAACATCTGCATCAACTATAAGGAATGAAAATACAAGAAAGAAACATACTAGGAGTAGGAGATACAAATTTAACTCTTGAAATCCAGGACATATAAAGGGGTGAAAATAATCAACTGTATGAAAACTTAAATGACATTAGGTGTTCCAACAGACACAACAAACCTGATTTTGTGAACACAAAGTATACTTTCTTTTCAAATACAGCCTTAGCCTGGAAGGCTAAGGCTGCAGTGAGCCGTGATTGCACCACTTCACTCCAGCCTGGGTGACAGAGTGAGACCTTGTCTCAATAAAATAAAATAGGATATGATTAATAAAAACTTTTTTGAATGTTTAAAACCTTTAAAAGGAGTTCCTAAAAGGAAAACAGAACAAAGTGGGATCTCATAGTCTGGGAAAACAATTCTATAAATATGTCAATAATCCCTCAATCTATTAATCGAGTTCATTTCTGACCAAAATCTTAAAAAAGAATTTGCAAAGGGATTTGACAAATCAATCCTTTTTTAAAAAAAACCTTTTAGCATTGAATTTTTCAAATATATTTTAAAAACTAGAGGAATAATGTACCACCTTGCTTCAGTAATTACCAGCATATGGTCAATCTTGGACAAGTTCATTTTTAAGTTTATCTGAAGCGTAATTAGTCATTAACATCTGAAAAAGACAAATAATGACAAAGTTTAATAGTTAGCTAACAGAGGTATTGTAGATAGCCCTGAAACAGAGTCACATTTTTGTGAGCATTCAGAGAGTAACAACGGTGCAATTTCAAATCAGGGTAGACAGGATGGCTTAAAATTAGTATTATTGGGTCAATGGGCTACAAAACTGGGAATAATTGAAGTTTAATAATTTACAGCTGAAATATGAAGAATAAATTTCAGATGGATTAGAGCTCTAAATGTAAATTTAAGCCTCTAAGAGAATTAGAAAAAGTTAAAGGGGAATTATAGATTCATAATCTTGGTGTTAAGGTCTCCCCAAGCCATGCAAGAATGATAAATCTGATTACATGAAAACCTTAAGCTTCTATAGAGTGGAAAAAAAAAAAAAAAAGACAAGTTACAGACAGAGAAACATATCACTCATAAACCAGGCCAAGGAGACTGGACAAACACGAAACGTATATCGCTCATAAATCAGGCCAAGGAGACTGGAGATGTGAAGTAGGAGGTATGTTTTGGAAAATACTTTATTTAATGTTACCCACGTACAGGATAAACGGCTTCCCACGTCATGTCCCAGAAATCGATTAGGGGATGGGATTTGGGTGATTACTTTCATTTGTTTTCCTGATATTTTCTCTTGTTTCTTTTCTTTCTCTCTTCTGTTTTCCTGAATTTTTTTTTTCTTTCTTTTCTTTCACTCTCTTTTCTACAATGATGCTGTGTTTGTAATTGACGTTTTAAATTCTGTAACGATTACATATGGGGGCGGCCCTCCCTTGTTTCCTGAATGGAGTGTTGATGTTTCAGCGGCTTTGAGTTTACTCGTGGAGGCACCTAGGTTTGGGGCTTCCTTTGTGTCCCCAAGACACCTATTGCAGAAGTGAGTCCTAAGAGGTAGAAAACAGATGCATGCGCAGAACTGGGTGAAGCAGTGTGGAGCCCGTGTGACAGGAGGCTCGGGCGCTAACACATAAGCGGAATTCCTCATTCCGCTTCTCCTCATCCTCTCTCCCAGTGCCACCCGCATCACTCATCCCATCCGGTCATTCCAAGTCACACGCAAGAGTTCGTTCCCCGCGCGCGCGTCAGCCTAAGTCCCGCGTCTCCACTTCCGGGGCCCGCAGGGGAACGCCCTTGCCCCGCCCGGTCGCTTGTTGTGTTGTCATCACGTGGCGTGGGCGGGCCCTGACGTCAAGGGGAGGGGAGGGACGGCGCAAGCGCAGAAAAGGGGGCGGGGGACTCGGCTTGTTGTGTTGCTGCCTGAGAGCCCGAGACAGTCCTGCAGCTGCCGCAGCCCTGCCAGCCGCCTGACAATGTCCCACCTAGTCGAGCCGCCGCCGCCCCTGCACAACAACAACAACAACAACTGCGAGGAAAGTGACCAGTCTCTGCCCCCGCCGGCCGGCCTCAACAGTAAGTGTGGGGCCGAGGGCTTGGTGAAGGGGATGGGGGAGGAGGAGCCGCCCCAGCCGCCGCCACCGGCGCGGCGCGGGAGGCGGGAGGAGAAGGCAGCCCATTGGCCCAGGCCTAGGATGTCCGGTGACTGACAGCTCCTGTCACCTGTCAGGAGGAGGGGCGTCTGCCTTCCTTCGGGCCTCTCGGTGCCCTCTGAGGTCTTGGGTCCTGGGCCTTTTGGGTTCGCGGTCCGGGATCGGCGTGGGTGGCGCGGATCTCCCCGGTGTGGAGGGTCCCCAGCAGCGGAGCCGGGTGGGGCGGGGCGGGGGCGGGCCTGGGCGGCGGGGAGGCCGGGTGGGAGGAGCGGGCCGCGGAGGGTACGTGGGCCGGGATGGGACGTGCGGCTGGGACGCCGGGGGATGGACGCGCAAGAGCGGGGTGGGGCGGGCGGCGGCCGCGGGACGTGTCAAGGATCAGGTGTGCGGGGTCCGGGAGCCGGCAGCGTCTGGCGGGCGCGGGAGCCCCCAGCGAGCATTCCTTTGTTGCCACATGTTCGTCAGGAAAATTCATTTACTGTTCTAGGGGTGGCTTCAGTCACGTGTGGGGTGAGAGGCTGTGGCTTGCTTTTCCTTTTCCTTTTTTTTTTTTTTTATATATTTCTCGAAGTTGCCCAAGTAATTTTTTTTTAAGCAATGGGGTTCTGTGCCCAGTAAACCTGAGAGCTGCCTCCTGAACCACCCAGGACTGCACACGTCAGGGAGTCTGGGGCCGTGCATTTAAAGAAATGGAATTAAAAACGCAGTCGGGCAGTTGAAAGTCAACAGGCAGGGCTGATGGACTACCCAGGCGAGGGGCTTTGCTTAACATTCCGCTGCTTACACGTGTGGTCCTCAGATTTTTCTAAGGCGTTGTGAGAGCCAGGAGCCTTCTTGGAAGGGTTCTTGCCTAACCTTTCTGTAATTCATCTCTTGGGAAAGAGGTAGTGGGGGCAGTGAGGATGTGGCCAGACTGTCTTTTCAAAACGACTTGGATGCTTAAAGGTCGTGTAGTATCTTTCGTAAGAGGGAAGTGCTTCCAGTGTGGCCTGAAGATTATTATTCCAGGGAAGACAGTTGCAGCCCTCACCAGGTAGGGATGGAATTTGGATGTTCTAAGATGGATGCTGCTTCTCCAGGTTTTGATGGGTTAGCTCCCAAGACCTTTAAGTGTCCTATATTCCAGAATGTAAGATGGTTATATTATTTCCCGCAGCAAATTAGGATGAATGTATGTGTCTTTAAACATTAATTGTATCGCATATTCATATGCAATTTTAAGTTATTTGCCCGTGTTTAGCATACTCTCTTGGATTTTAGAATGGGAAGAAACTTCCAGTAGAGAAACAGGTCTTGATTAAGGGGCCTTGTCCAAGTTCACAACCAGCTGGGAGCAAAGCTGAGGTTCTGACATTCAGCCTGTCCAGTGCCTTTTTTTTTTTTTTTTTTTTTTTTTGAGATGGAGTCTGGTTCTGTCACCTAATAGCTGCGTTTTCTCAGCTCACTGCAACCTCCGCCTTCTGGATTCAGGGATTCTCTTGCCTCAGCCTCCCGAGTAGCTGGGACTACAGGTGCCCGCCACCCACCTGGCTAATTTTTGTACTTTTAGTAGAGACGAAATTTCGCCATTTTGGCCAAGCTGGTCTCAAACTCCTGACCTCATGTGATCCACCCGCCTGGGCTTCCTCAAGTGCCGGGATTACAGGCACAGCCAATGCACCCTGCCTCTTTTCAGGACTTCTTTTCAGTGGTCCAGAACCAGGCCTCTTTTCAGTGGTCTTGCTGGTGTATGTGTCTTATTTTGTCAGTGTTGTTATTCTACCTGATGCACAAAGGTGACCCACCTTTCTGTCTCTTGGTAATATTCTGTTTAATTGTGCAATTTTCTTATGAGTGAAGATACTTGGTAGGTGTACATGATTTCACTAAACGCAAAGGGATTTTCATCTTCCTTTGACCCCTTTAACAACAACACAAAGGGATAAGCCAGGCAGGGCGCGGTGGCTCACACCTGTCATCCCAGCACTTTGGTAGGCCGAATTGGGTGGTTCACTTGAGGTCAGGAGTTCGATACCAGCCTGCCAACAAGTTGAGAGACCAACCCCCCCCCCCCCCCCCCCCCCCCGCTACTGAAAATACAAAAATTAGCCTGGCATAGTGGCAGGCGCCTGTAATCCCGGCTACTCGGAGGCTGAGGCAGGAGAATCGTTTGAACCCGGGAGACAGAGGTTGCAGTGATCTGAGATTGTGCCACTGCACTCCAGCCCTGGTAACAGAGCAAGACTCTGTCTGAATGAAAAAAGAAAAAAAAAGGGGGGCGGGGGGAGTTGAGCCATATGTCATTGTTTGTCTTGGTGTCTTACAGACCTATGACAAGTTTGATATCTTTGACCAATTTGTTCCTGCTTGGTTGACATTGGCTCTTACAGAGGTGGAATTACACTCAGGCTGCATGGGATATCAAAGTGTTGCTTTGGGAAATCTGCTGGATAGCATTTTATGTGGGTTAGGGTGAGCTTCCTGAAAAGCTTTTAGATAATGCCATGTTTAATTACTCCCCTCTTGCCTCTTACTCTGTTCGTTTTTTTTTAGCTCATTACACAACACTGGACTGAACAAAACAAGAAGCCTCATTGATTCCTTGAAGTGATTTTTGGGTACTGGGCAAAACAACTTAGGCATCTAGTACTGTCCAAATTGCTGATAAGTTGAAGTACTTTGTTGGGTAAAGTTGCACAACTGAAAAACAGGGGATGAAATGTTCAGATTATCTTGGGTTTGGGATTTTATCTTTGGTTCAGGGGTCAAAGCAGAGTTTCAATAGCAAATTATTGAAATATTTGAATAGTGAAGTATTTCTGTGATTTTTTTTTTTAAGTTTACCGCTGTGAAGAGACTGTTCACTTTCATTACAAATTACAGGGCAGATACCCAAACTCTTGCCAAGTCAAAAGGATGTTGTCCAGTTTGTTTTGTTGTTAAGAATTTTTAGCTGTTTAAAAAAAAAGAAACAATTCTTAACTATTAACTTCCTTAAGAATATTTGAATAAGGTTCAATGAGTAAGGAAAATCAAAGTAGTAGTATAATTCTTGTTGAGACGTATAGCCTTTTTTTCTTTCCTTGTTTTTATTTATTTTTATTTCTGAGATAGAGTCTTGCTCTGTCACCCAGGCTGGAGTACAGTGATGCAGTCATAGCTGATTGCAGCTTCCACCACCTGGGCTCAAGTGATCCTTTTGCCTCCGCCTCCCAAGTAGCTAGGAGTACAGGTGCACGCTCCCACACCCAGCTAATTATTTTATTTCTTGTAGAGATGGAGTTTCACTTTGTTGGCCAGGCTGGTCACTGGCTAACCTATTTTTTGTAGAGATAGAGTTTTGCCTTGTTGCCCAGGCTGGTCACAAATTTTTTTTCTTTTTTTAAGTAAATCTTCAACCATGATGTGTTTGCTTTCCTGTTATCAGGAGTGCTCTTAAGGCCTTCATGAAGTGTCACTGCCTCATAATAATGTTTTGAATACCTTTGTAACCTGTGTGTAAATACTTATACAAAAAGACAACTTTTTTTTTTAGAAGAATGTCAGTGACTCTTGTTGGCCTGGTCTGGATTTCAGCATCAGATTGGCCTGGTCTGGATTTCAGCATCAGATTGGCCTGGTCTGGATTTCAGCATCAGATTGGCCTGGTCTGGATTCCTTTCAATAATGAATGAAAGGCTTTGAGGAAAGAATGTAAATATAATGAAATATGGAAAGAGTTCCATGTGGACCTTGAAAAGTTACGGGGGAAATTGAGGAGAAATACTCTTCATTTTCTCCTCCCCGTGTCCCAAAGCTCCTCTCCTCCCCTTATTGCAAGAGAATTGAACTAGTGATTATAAAACTGTAAAGATGATGTAACATACATTAATGAATGTAATCACAATTATTAAACCACCTTTCACAATCTGTTACATTAAGAGAATGGAGAAGCACTCACAGAGGTTTCTCTGAGTCTCTTAGTCATTCCCAAAAACCCAAACCAGAAAGTATTGCATGTCATTGCATATTTTGTACAAATTGGCATAAGGAACAGCTCTTACTTCCTTTGTAAAGTCTGAATCATAGAGAAGCTTCCAGCTTTTAGTTTTCAAGCTTGATTGTTAGGAAGAGAATTCACTCTGTGGTTTTCTACTTTGTATTGCTTGGACGGCACAAACCTCTTATCTAGCATTGCTTCCTTTCCAAGTAAAACTGGACTTTGTGAGGGTTGGTAGAGTTAAAACACTAAGAAATTTTGAGTCTGTAAATCAGGAACGAATCAGGTGATGGGAAAAAAGACGTGTTGTTCATCTGTTGAGGAAGACAGATTTGCTCTTTTGTGTGTTACTCAAAAGATTAATATGTAGCCTGTTAATGCCTATGCATATAACTTTCTCTGCAGCATCTACGTATTTCCATAGATGATATTTTTGAAAGAAAATTACTGAGTTAAAGGAAATTACCCTTTTAAGGCTCTTAATACCTATTGTCTAATTATTCTACAGAATGTTCACTGAAGCGCTGCTTGTAATAATAAAGTATTAGAAACAGCCGTCTGAGTAGTGGTTAACCATTGCCATTTAGAGAATGGTGAAAGTACCGTATATCCTTATAAAAGATGAGATGCGGCGCAGTTGTTCAGAAGAATTAATGTCATTGTGTATTGATAGGGAAGACATCTGAAAAACGACTTACAGATTATGTAAATATGTGTGTCTGGTACACTTTCATTTCTTTATAAAAACAAAAGCGAAAACAGACCTATATTTCATTGAAAAAAAAAAAAAACAACTCTGAAGATCTCCATGTGAAACTCAAAAGTGACTCCTTTGGGTGTAGGAATGGGAGGTCAGGAGAAATGGTTATTGTAAATTTTATGTACTGATTGTTTACATTTTCTAGGAACACATTTTTGCAGTAAGGAATGGTTTTTATATGATGCAGAATGTAATTATAGTAGCTAAAACTTTCTTAGGGAGCTTTCTTATTGTTCTGCGTGCTTTATTCATTTAATCCTCCTAACAAAGTCTTTGAGGTACATACAGTTATCTGTTTTATAGATGGGAAAACTGAGGCTGTAAGTACCCTGTGCAAGGGTGACAGCTGTGACTGAGAGTGGGAGCCTGGCTTCAGTCTCTGCCCCTGACCACAGTAGACCAGTATATGGCAAGTACAAATTGCCTGCCTTAAGTAGAAATGCTTTCAGCTATGCCACAGCGTGTGGAGGCCACAGCAGAGATCACTTTTGCTAAGCGTTTCTAGGTATGTCTCTTTGTTCAGGTTTCTAACGTATATTTTAGATTATGATTGCTT